ACGAACACACGCACACACACTCACACGCCCACACACACACACGCACACACGCACGCACGCACGCGCGCGCACACACACACACACACACACACACACACACACATATATACATATACATATATTTTAATTCCTATCGATCTTATATCCCCCTATATACGAGGTTAAAAATTCGAGAATCTTAATTTCGATCCCCGACTTATAGATGAACTCAAATAAAGAACAACGAAGACACATATATGCTTCTACAAATATCTCTGTGTCACACTGACTAGTCAGTTTATTTGTGAAAAAACCTTATTTTTTTGAGATACGTATAGATACGTTATATCATCCATATGAGGTTATCAGCATATTACGTTTTATCTCAAAAAAAATCGTTTGATTTCATATCATATCATATCATATTATGTCATATCGTATCATATCATATCAACTCGTATCATATCATATTATACCATTACCACACGATGCCACATCATATTTTATCGTACATATCGTATGTATATCATATATATCATACCAAACAATGGCGAAATGCATGATGAAGCAGATATCATCATAAACAGATATCATCATAAACAGATATCATCATAAACAGATATCATCATAAACAGATATCATCATAAACAGATATCATCATAAACAGATATCAGCTCTTCACTTCTGCTTCTTCCGTCTCTTGATGATTTCTCCTACTATCGATCACGCGTCATCAGCGCCACCTAGCGAGCCGGACGAACTCACGCGTCGTCAGCGCCACCTAGCGAGGCGACAACCTCACGCGCCGTCAGCGCCACCTAGCGAGCCGGATGAACTCACGCGTTGTCAGCGCCACCTAGCGAGCTGGATGAACTCACGCGTCGTCAGCGCCACCTAGCGAGCGGACGTCCATCTCCAGCTCCCGCAGACTCTGCAGGAAGTAATTGGGAAGGGGAGCGATGATTACGATGGCCTCTCCCGCTCCCTTCTTCTTCTTACTTCCTGTTCCTCCCTCCTGCACCTCTCCTGTCCCTCCCTCCTGCACCTCTCCTGTCCCTCCCTCCTGCATCTCTCCTGTCAACCCCTCCTCGATATTCCCTGTCATTCCCTCCTCGATATTCCCTGCTGCTCCTTCTTCGATATTCCCTGTTGCTCCATCCTGGAAATTTTGCAGTGTTTCTTCCTGGATGTCTCCCTCTGGGATCTTTTCCATCGTTTCCTTCCCGTCGCTCCCCGTCGCTCCCTCCTGGCTCGTCGCTGTCCCTCCCTCCCGTGCCTTCCCCGCGGATCTCTTCTGTTGCTTCCCTGCTGGCTGCAGACTGGGGATGACGACGCTCCTGCAGTGCATGTGTACGGGGACGGTCTCCGTGTCTCCCCCTCCTCCTCCTCCTCCTCCACTGCTGCCACGGGAAACCAGTGTCAGTGCCTCAGCGACGTGTTTGGAGAGATTCTGTTGTAGGAGAACGGATGGTTATGCCAGGGGCACGCACGCACGCACACGCGCACACGCACGCACACGCACGCACACGCGCACACGCACGCACACACACACACGACGTCCCACACATGCGCGTGGACACCACATCCTCACCTCCCCCCACAACATTTACCAACACACTTGCCCCTCCCCCGTCCCACACACGATGCACGGCCACACACCACGGCACCGCCTCCCCACCCCCACACATACACACACACACCTTCTTTCCCCTCCCCCTTGCTCTCCTCTACACACCACACCTCCCTCCCCTCCTCCCTCCTACACAACACTCCCTCCCCCTCCTCCCACCAATACACACCTCCCCTCCCCCCTCCTCCCACCATACACACCTCCCCTCCCTCCTCTCCCACCACACACACCTCCCTCTCCACCACAACACGATCTCCCCTGCCTCCCACCACACACACCTCCCCCTCCTGCCCCGCCACCACACACACACACACGCACGCACGCACGCACGACGCACGCACACACACGTGATTATGCATGTACCTGTGCTGTGCCGTGAGCAGCTGCGTGGATTGAGCGCTGAACCAGCTTGTCTATGATACGCTCACGCGATCTGTAGTAAAGCTGGTCACCGAGCTTACAGCGTGCCAGCCTGATGTGCCAAATACACACGCATGCATGTGTCTTTTCTCTTATCAGAAGAGATCAACAAAGCAAGTATTACCACATGAAGTATACTAGCCCTATTATATCGTATTATTATTTATTAACTACAATTATGTATGATTTATTATAACTACAACTATTTGTATGATGTAACTGTACAATATAATATTGTATTATGTATGCTAACTTAAAACTATTGTAATATGTTAATGTATTATACGTACTGTATTATTTACTGATATGATGTATATCAGCGGGTCCCTAACAACAACAAATGATATGATGTATATAATTACATACTATTGTATGATGTATATAACTACAACTATTGTATGATGTATATAACTACAAACTATTGTATATGATGTTAATATAATCACAATATTGTTATGATGTATATTAACTTAACATTGTACGATGTATATAATCACAACTATTGTATGCATGTATACACATCTAACAAACTATCTTGTACGATGCTATATAACTACAACTATTGCTAGATAATGTATATAATTACAACTATTTGTACGGATGTATATAACTAAAATTATTGTATGATGTATAATCTACAACTATTGTACGAGCTATATAACTACAACCTATTGTATTGATGTATATAACTACAACTATTGTTGATGTATATAATTCACAACTATTGGTATGATGTAGATAACTATAACATTGTATTGATGTATATAATCACAACTATTGGTAGACTGTATATATTACAAACTATTGTATGATGCTATATAAACTACAACTATTGTTATGATGCTATATAAATTACAAACTATTGCTATGATGTAATATAATCACAACTATTGTTATGATGTATACAAACTAACAACTATTGTAACGATGTTTATATAACTACAACCTATTGATATGATGTATATAACTACAAACTATGTCATGATGTTATATAACTACAATTATTGATATGATGTATATACACTACAACACTATTGTATGATGTATATAACTACAACTATTGTATGATCGTATTATAACCTTACAACTATTGTACGAATGTATTATTAACTACAATTATTGTATGAATTGTATATAAACTCACAACTATTGTGATGATGTATATAGACTACAACTATTGTACGACTGTATATAAACTACAAACTATTGTACTCATGTATATAACTACAAATGATTGTATGATGTATATAACTACAAACTATTGTATGATGATATATAATCACAAACTAATGTTATGCATGTAATATAACTTTACAACTATTGTCATGATGTTATATAAACTTACAACTATTGTATGATGTATATAACTTACAACTTATTGTACGATGTACTATATAACTACAATCTATTGTATGAATGTATAATAACGACAAACTATTTGTATTGAGGTATATAACTCAACTATTGTACGACTGTAATATAACATACAATTATTGTATGATGTATACAACTATCAACTATTGCTATGATGTACTAGAACTACAACTATTGTGTATGATGTATTCAACTACAACTATTGCTACGATGTATATAACTACAATTATTGCTATGATGTATATACGAACAACTATTGTATGATGTATATAACTACTAACTATTGTGACGATGTATATAACTTACAATATTGATATTGATGATATATAACTACAACTATCTGTATGATGTACTACAACTAACAACTATTGTTCACGAATGTTATCATAACTACAACTATTGCTATGATGTTATATAACTACAACTATTGCTATGATGTATAATAATTACAACTATTTGTATTTGATTGTAATATAATTCACACTATTTGTTATGATGTATACAAACTTACAATCTATTGTATGATGTAATATAACTATCAACTATTGTATGATGTATATAACTATAACTTATTGTAGTGATGTATTATAATTACAACTCATTGTATGATGTATAATAACGTACAAACTATTGTATGATGCCACATACAACTACACACTTTGCTATGATAATGCATACCAACTTACAAACTTAATGTATGATGTATACAACTTTATAAAATATCGCGTATTATTCTTATATAGGAATTGCTATTAAGATATTACAAGAGACTAGTAATACGATTATATAAACATAATATGTTTGTTGTTAGCCTCTAATTATAATATATATAATGTATTATAATATATATAATGTTTTTTTTTTTTATTTTTCTATATAATGTATCATGCTATATGTATAATAATGTATAGTATAACATATGATCAGAGCTAGATAATAGGGATATCCCCTATTATCTACTCGCTGGATATGATGTATATATAGCCTATAAATATCTGTATGATGATATCTGCTTACTATCATATATCATATTATATATAATGTATACATGTTTTTTCTTTTTTTTTTTTTTTTTCCTATATAGTATATATATTATATATATATGTATATAACTATACATCTACTGCTTACCGGACGTGGATCGTAGCTGCACCAGGGCGGCGTTGTATCTACCCTGAGACGTCAGCACCTCTCCACGTATCGTACCCTGCTTCAACACGCTGTCTTGCCGCAGCGATCGATTACTTGGTCTCAGGTCCATGATCGGCTGCCGAACGACGAGATTTATTATTATTTTATAACAAGACAACGTTATTTATCATCGAAAATAGGATTATTTACGTGCGTTATTTATGTTATTGTTGTATTTTCGTGTGTTATTTATATTATTGTTATATTTTCACGTATTATTTAGATTATCCTTTTGTGTTTTATTTATATCATTGTTATATTTTCTTCTCTCCTGTAACTGCAGCTGCAGACCGCAGGAGATGAAAAAATCTCGAAAAACTTACGGGGAAAAAAACTAAAACAAAGAATGTCTTCAATGAGAACAAGAACGTCTCGAGAAATAATTACCTAATCATTTTTAATAATTATATCTACATAATTTTCGTATGTTGCGAAGGCTGTTGTTTTTTCTGTAGCGCTTTTTTTGGTTGTTAATCAGGAGGATTTGACTGAGTGACGGCACGTCGCCAGCAAAAAATATAATGCGCGAGCGAAAATCTGCGCAAAAAATGATATCCATGAATAATAGAGCATCCCTTACTTGCATTTTGAGAGATAATGAAAAATTGTTCTTTTCTTGAACTTGCTGACAAAAAGTGGCAGTTAGGCAGAAACGTGATCTCAAGAGAAACTTTACGAAGATTCTCATGAAAACGGTTATAGACATGAATAATTAAACAGTGGCTTGATTCATTCACTATACTTCAATGCTGACGTTCATGTATTAACTAAGAAACTTAATAACATGCCACGATCGATCGAGGACTGAATGAAAATGAAAATTTTCTTTTCATTCACCCTTGATGCCATCAATTTTTTTGGATGAATCCTCTTAAGAGGCTGTCAAGCTATGATATGATATTATGATCTCTCTATCTATCTGTCTGTCTGTCTCTCTCTCTCTCTCTCTATCTGTCTGTCTGCCTGTCTCTCTCTCACACACTCTATCTCTCTCTCTCGCTCACTCTTCCTCACACCCACCCAGTGTTCGAAATAAGGAAAAAAATTGCTTGTCTGACGGACAAGCTACAATATATTTTTGTTTGTCCTGCATAATGTTTACTTGTCCTGATTAATAACATAGAAATATAGTAAATGTGTAATACATTTAATCAAATTACATTTTATGCCCAATATCTTATTTTGTAATTTTAATACAGTTAACTGACAGTTCAAATTAGGCACCAAACTTGAAAGAACATAAAGAAGCACAATTATTTATTTTAAGTTATTACTTGTCTTAACAAAGTTGAAGCGATGGTAGAAAATGATGAAAAGTTGCTCTAAAAAGTTGCTTGTCCAGCGTACAAGCTACTGGACAGGTCTACCTGTCCTCCATGGAAATGGACAAGTGAGGACAAATGGATAGCCCTTATTTCGAACACTGCTACCCAGTTCCTTTCTCATCTGAGAGAGGGCAAG